CATCCAGCAGTTACCAGGGCCCCAGGTTTTGAGGGTAGCATAAGTTTTTCCTCTTTTCCTGTTTAGTGAGGAGAATCAGATATTTATATATCTTTTTGTCTCTTTCAGGCTTCTGGGAACTTGGCAGACACAGATTAGAGACACCCACCAGCGAGCTTCATTTTTGTCCTTCTGGGAGCTCATTCCCATGAGGTAAACTACCGTGGGCCTGGCCTCTTTGGGGCTGTCAGCAGGAGACTGATGTGCATATAAACAGAACAAAACAGGACTACTGGACATTTGGTTTGCAAAATTAATTGCGAAATTTCTCGGTTAAATTTAGGTAGATGTTTTCTGTTTTTCAGCATTCTGTATATGGAATACTGCTGCCTGCAATCAGAAAATAAAAATTAAACGTAAAAATGGTTTAAATAAAAATCAGTTTTAAAGGGATTGTTGTATGTTTTAAAGGACACAGCGTAGACATCTGCTTGCTTGGAGAGGTCGGGGGAGGCATGAGGATTAGATTTTCCACCTAGGAGTCTGGATGCTTTCTTGGGACTTGATTCACAAGGCTCAGTCTTGATGCTAGAGGATTTACTTATTTTTTTTTTTTGGTAAGATTGATTATTTATTTATGTATGTATGTATGTATGTATGTATGTATTTAAGAGAGTGAGCAAGAGAGAGCACAAGCGGGGGTAGGGGCAGAGTGAGAAGCGGACTCCTGGCTGAGCACTGAGCAGGGAGGCTGCTGGCTGGCTGCTGGCTGGCTGCTGGCTGGCTGCGAGGCTGGATCCCAGGACCCTGGGATCATGACCTGAGCAGAAGGCAGACGCTTAACCCACTGAGCCACCCAGGCGACCGGAGGATTTACTTATCTTTAATAGTATATTATCACCATAGGAGATCTGTTCCCTGAGAGTACATCAGACTTTTGTTAATGCTCTAGGATGGGGAAATTTGTTAAGAAATTTTGAAAAGTGAACAGGGACGTGTCAGTCACTTTTTCTTTTTTTTTTTTAAAGATTTTATTTATTTATTTGAGAGAGCGAGAATGAGAGAGAGAGAGAGCGAGAGAGCACGTGAGGGGGGGAGGGTCAGAGGGAGAAGCAGACTCCCCGCTGAGCAGCAGGGAGCCCGATGTGGGACTTGATCCGGGGACTCCAGGATCATGACCTGAGCCGAAGGCAGTCGCTTAACCAACTGAGCCACCCAGGCGCCCATGTGTCAGTCACTTTTATTACTCAAATCACTTTTACAAATCACAATTCCAGGGGTGCGTGGGTGGCTCAGTCTGTTAAGGATCTGCCTTCGGTTCAGGTCATGATCCCAGGGACCTGGGATTGAGCCCCACATCGCATGGGGCTCCTTGCTCAGCGGGGAGTCTGCTGCTTCTTCTCCCTCCCCCTGGCTTGTGCACTCCCTCAAATAAATAAATAAAATTAAAAAAAAAATCACAAATCCATTTAAAATGTGAGTAATGATTTTCTAACTCATCAATTTGGTATTTTCAGTTTCCATTGCAATCCCAAGACACACCCAAACCCAACATGAAAGATGAGTACTTATTCTTAATTTATACCCTGATGCCCCATGAAGTTTTTCTAGCCTTTCCTGGGTTGACCATGCCCACACAGTTCTGACAAGTACCCTGGGTTGGAGGCCATCTCCCTTTCACACTCAGCTCATGAGGTTAGACCCATGCATCGTTCCTTCCCCAGTGGAGAGCATGGTACAAGTTCTGGGCACTTCACCTAGCGCCCTGTCTCTCAGCATGTTTGTGACACTGAAGAGGAAAATGTCTAATGTTTGCTTTATCCATTAGAGCAGAACCTCTGCGAAAGAAGAAAAAGGTAGATCCTAAAAAAGACCAAGCAGTAAAGGACCGTTTGAAAAAGAGGATCAGACGACTGGAGAAAGCTAGCCAGGAGCTCATTCCCATCGAAGATTTTATTACACCTGTGAGGCTCTTGGATAAAGCAAGGTAAGTGTTCTCTAGGGTCGAGGTTATCAGGACAAAGAGTTCCATCACCTTCTGGTAGTTCTGTCTGCATTTCACACCTGTGACAGGAAAAGGTGAGTGGGCGTGGGCAGACTAGGTCCCAGTCTGAGTCCTTTTCTCCTTGACTGTGTCTTGTGGGAGTTGGCAAAAGCATTCCTGGGTGATGCTTTTGAATGGCAGAAATGGGAAGGAAACTCATAACCAGTTCGTATTGTTGCTTTTTTGCAAGATGAGTTTTAGCTGTGACTGATGACTTGGACCTTGGGTCTGCAGCCCTTGCCTCATCTTGATGGTAGAAAACCCTTAGCCTCTAGCTTTATGGTACAGATGCTCATAGTTGGGATGTGTTGTGTACAGGCCTGGCAGGGTTGCTGCCTTGTAAAAAAGTGTGTGCCATTTATAAAGTAGCACCTCGCCATACAGGTGGGACATGGCGGGTGCTTTTTTGGTATTCTAGGGCTGATCTGGGCTCTTGACTCCCTGGGACTTGGGCTTCCATTTTCATAACACCACTTTACATTTCCACAGTCACCTCTCATCAAAGGTAGTCTAGGCCTGGGGTAGAGGAAATGCTACCAGTCTTCTTAGAGCATCACTGTTTCTTATGTCCATGTAAAGCAAATGGCACTGGCTTCCAACATCAGTTGCAGCTGCTACCACATCAGCATTCCATGCTTTAATTTATCCCTAACTTTTTAAAATTAATAATAACTTTAATCCCTAACTTCCATGTTTTTCCCTAAGTCCCATCTGTGTCTGGCAGTGGGGACGCTTGGGTTGTATGCAGTCACCCAGACTACCTGGCCAGTGAGGTCGGTGCTTCCCAGCTTCACACCTTCGGATTTGTGTGTTCCTAGACAGCGGCCTCACGTGGAGCTTCCCTTTGAGGAGAGTGAGCGGAGAGCTCTGCTCCTGAAGAAGTGGTCTCTGTACAAGCATCAAGAGCATGAGAAGGAGAGGGATGCCATCAGGTCCATGATTGAGTCCCAGCAGGAAGCTCTGCAGGAGCTGCAACTCATGTCCCCAGAGCTACATGTGGAGGCCACCAAGCGGGACCCCAATCTGTTCCCCTTTGAAAGAGAAGGGCCAGATTACACGCCACCAATCTCCAACTACCAGCCCCCTGAAGGCAGATACCATGATATCACCAAGGTATACACACAGGTGGAGTTTAAGAGGTAGAGCGGCAGGCACCTGTCCACAGAACACACTGCCCTTTAGAGCCAGAATGACCAGGGCTCAAGCCTGCTTGTCACAGAGTCAGGCATGCTGTGAATAAATATGTTTAATCAAGTGTCTCTGTCTTAAGTTTGAGTCAGAATTAATTCACCTGAGGATTGATGGGGGTGAGAGATGCTGCCCTTGTCTGGTACTGGGGAGAGAATGACCAAGACATCTACCGCTGCTCCCCAGTAAAAAGGAAGATTCCAGTTGTGTAGAGTAGATACCACCAGCAAGAGGCAGCTAAGTACCTCAAGGAGCAGAGGTGAAGGATGTGCGGGCTATGTGCTGTGTGTTGTCTGCATACCCGTGCAGACAGGAGAGGCAGGGCCTTCCACTGGGCAAATGGAGCATGGGAGCTTCCTCACATCTTTGGCAGGGCCAGCTTTGGGTTTTAAGCTGGGGAGGGAGGCTGAAGAGAGTGGAACAAGCCTGGGACACACTACTTCAAGTTGCTGTGTTCCCTAGGAGGACGTAGCACCTGACACTCAAGTGTCAGTCTGGAATAGTAAATATATTAGTGTGGCGGGGCTGCAAGAACAAAGTACGACAGACCGAGGGCTTAAGCAACAGCAATTTGTTTCTCATAGAAATCTCTGTTCTTGAGACCAGAACTCCAAGATCAAGGTGTTGGCAGGATTGGTTTTTCCGCAAATGTGCTCTCCTTTGCTTGCAGAGAGCCACCTTTTCCCTGGGTCCTCCTAGGGTTATCCTTCTGTGCCTGTCTCGTAATAAGGATACTACTAGTCAGTGGATTAGGGCCCAGTATAATGACATCATTTTAAATTAATTACCTCTTTAAGCACCCTATCTCTATAAATAGTCACATTCAGAGGTATTAGGGGTTAGAGCTTTAACACAGGAATTTAGAGGGAGTGGGGAACAACACAATTCAGCCCATAACAGTGAAGGTCCAGTGAGCAAATAGAGCCATTTCTCCTAGTGACTTGCATTGCTATCTCGGAAGGGTTTGGGTTTTTCGCTGCCTTAGTGCAGATAAACCAGGGAAACATTTCATTGGAGGAAGAATTCAGATTGTTTTCCTGGTGTGTGGTTCACTTTTGGTTTAAAAACTTACTAGATAAAACATTGTTACTGGATAAAAATGCTGCCTAAGGATTCTAAGTTCTTTAACTCTGCCTTTGAGACAAACACCGAATCTGGCCACCTTTCACCACCTCATTGCTATCTCGAGGTCCACACCATTGCCACATTTTGCCTGTTCCACTGCAGCAGCCAACTGATCTCTCCATGTGGGCACTCCCCCCAACCCCCTGTAAGCTCCTCCACACAGCAACTAGAGGGCTCCGCGAAGCACAAGCCAGGGCAGGCATTTGGCTGTTCACCACCCCTGATCACGCCTTACAGACCCGCCCCCCCCAACCACCTTCTGCCCCTCCCCGTGAGCACACGGCACTTAATTGTTCCTTGTGGATTGTGTTGTGTGCTCCTTCCTCTACAAGGCTCAGGCTTCTTCATCCAGGTCTGGGCTCAGATGCTGAGGCCTTCCCCACCTCCCTGCCCATTGCCGGTGCTTTGTTTTGTTTTTTAATTTTATTTATTTGTCAGAGCACAAGCAGGGGGAGCAGCAGGCAGAAGGAGAAGCAGGCTCCCTGCTGAGCAAGGAGCCTGATTTGGGGCTTGATCCCAGGTCCCTCGGATCGTGACCTGAGCCGAAGGCAGACGCTTAACCAACTGAGCCACCCAGGCATCCCTGCAGGTGCTTTGTAGTAGTGTTTTTCAAACAGTACGTGTCATCCATTAGGTTGTATAATCAATTCATGGGGTCAGGACCAGCAGTTTTAACTTTTTATTTTGAAGTAGTTACAGATTTACAGGAGGTTGGAAATAAAGATGCAAGGAGGGTCTGTGTATGGTTCTCCCAGCCTCCCCAAGTATTAACATCTTACACACTGCATAAAGTCAGTGTGAAAGAGACTAGAGACTGACATAGGCACAGCCCAGAATGCATTCAGGTTTCCCACTATGTCTGCACTCATCTGTGCATATGTCTAACACTACACAATTTCATCACACATGCAGCTCTGTAGACGTCAAGGTTCCAGTACCACAGGATACCCTTATGTACCCTAGCCACATCCACACCCTCCTTCCATCCCTACCCTTGGCACAATTAGCCATTCTCCATCTCTTATTACATCATCTCACCAATGTTACATAAATGGAACTATGTTATATGCACCCATTTAAGATTTTTTAACTTGGCATATTTTGAGTTTCACCCAAGTTTGTGCACATACAGTTTATTTTCAGTCGCACAGAACTGCAAATGTCAGTGTATCACACACTATACAGATAAGGACTTTTGTGAGGCTTGTTTCAACCATATATGCAGTATATAAAGTATATACCAGATCATAAAACTTGTTACGGGTTTTGTGCAAAAAATTTGAGAGCTACTTCTCTATCTTCTCACTGCCCATTTTCTTCACAGCACTTACCATTATTTTAGACTTAATGAAGTTTAAACGTTTATGTCTGTCCCCTAAACTCAACTGGAACTCTTTGAAGGCAACTTGCCCATTTCAAGACTGCAGTCCCAGAGCCAACCCCCACCTGGCATGTAGCGGTGCCGTCAGATGTTGTGACGGGTGAACACAGGAGCAGATGTAGGAACATTGTGTGCAGCAATGATTATCTGTCAGTGTGGAACTCATTGAGCAGGAGAGAAGGAATAAGGCTTCCTAACAGAGCATTCAGTGGCGGGCAGCCTCCAGCCCTAAACAAGCACACAGAGAATGTGGGTCCCTTGAGGTGAGCCCCTCAGGACTGCTGTACTGGCTGCTACTGCGGCCCCAGCCCGGGAACCCCAAGGGATCATATGCAGATTGCAAAATTCAAATGTCCCTTCCTGTGTTTCAGAGTGAAGAAAATGCCTGTAGATTCCCAGCAGCCTTCCCTCTCTCCTTGGCCGGAAATGCTCCAGAAAGTAGCCACAGACACAAGGCAGATACCCTGGCCGACTTAAATATCAAGGCACCCACCCTGGGATAGGTTCTTCTTTATACTCACCTCTGCTCCTGGGCTCCTGTGTGCACACTCCCCACTACTCACTGGTACACGCAGTCACAGGGAAGGACCTTTGGGGACCTGTGTGCAAACGCTCCCACCACTCAACAGGTACACACACACACACACACACACACACACACAGGGAGAGGCTACTGGGGACTTATGTGCACACCCCTTACCACTCCTAGGTACACACAGTCACGGGGAAGGATCACTGCGGATCTGTGTGCACAACCCCATCTCCCCCCATGGACAGGTACATACAGTCAGAGGGAAGGACCACTGGGGACCTGTGTGCACCCACCCCCTTTCCCCCATTGACAGGTACACACAGTCACAGGGAAGGATCATTGGGGACCTGTGTGCACACACCCCTACCACTCACAGGTACATACACAGGGAGAGGTTATTGGGGTCCTATGTGCAGATCCCCCAACACTTACAGGTACGCACAGTCACAGGGACTCTTGGGGCAACACAGGAGAAAATGCACACAGGAGAGGGCAAAGTCTATTCTTTAATGTACACCCTTTTGAAGTGATGGGATTATTTTGCCCCAAAGAATGAGTTAAAAGATGTCTGACCCACTGCCTGTGGCCAGGTTGGGGCCCAGTTGTGAGGGAGGTACTAAATGGCAGGAAGGAGCAGCGAGGCTTCGGGGCACACAGCCAGCCTCGCCCTCGGCCCCACACCACGGGGCCTGCTCTGCAGCCACGAGATGCTAAATCATTTTATTAGTGATAAAAAAGACCTCTCCAAGAACTAGAGTTCTTGTTGGTTCATATACATATATTTTAAAAACATCTACAAGAGTATAAGTATACAAAATTCCAATACTGTCCGAGCACAATAATGTCAAGGGCTAAATCTAACAATCTCAACTATTAAATTGTGGATTTAATGTTCAGCTTCTATTTGAAATCAAACGTGTGAAATGGCATTTGATATTATCTACACTTTCTAAAACTGACCAAGGGAAATTTTAAAGGAAAGAGACTAAAATTCCCCGTGTCTTGGGCTTGGGTTTCTTAAGCCAAAGGTCTAGCTGTGTGCGTTTCTTAAAAGCCAGAGTCTTCAAGAGGGCCTGTCTCCTACGAGGAGCAACACCCTGTCTGTGTCCACAAAGGAACTTAGTGAGTGGGCTAATAGCTCCATGTAAGCACCAGGGGCTGGCAATGCAGTGTCACCAAACCAGGACCAGGACAGGTGTTCACCACAGCACAACCATTTAGTTACCTCATTCTGACCGCCCTATGTGTCCACTTGGATCAGGGCTACCACTCAAGAGTTTACCTGAGAATGCTGTTGTCCCCAGCAGGGAGCATGAACCAGCCTAACCTGGCTGCTCACCAGGATCTGCAATGGTGTTTGGCATCCTGGAAGCTGTGCAGTGGGTGAAACTGTCAGAGCAAGGCAGCAGCAGGGTTGCCATGGGCAAGTAGGGCCGGAGACCTCAGGCTCTGTGTTCTAAGCCAAGTGGAAGCTTCAGGGACCCACTAGACTGTTTGGGCCCGTCACCGTCCTCAGGGCTTTGCCACAGCCCCATTTGAAACAGATCAGAGGAAGCCGTTCAGGAGTGCTCATCACTGGTCTTTCTCGTCCTGTGGCAGAGGGAGGTGCCAGTCTGCAGGAGGGCTCTGCCTTAGGGCCCACACCAGGGCGTGCTTCCGTGTAGCCTGGACTCTTGCACGCTCGCTCTCACAGAGGGACCGCTGTGCAAAGGAGACCCCAGTCACTTCCGGCTCATGTGGCCCCTGTACCTCCCTCCTCCTCAGCACCCTCCCAAACAAGCTGGACAAACAAAGCGTATGGCACATACCACTCCAGAACTTGGCTGCTTCTACCTAATAAACTTTGGCAACTATTCCATACTAAAACACACAGACCTAGATCATTCTTTCTCCCAAGCTGCTGTGAAAAACTATTGTGCAGATCACCAGAATTTGAGTAAAGTTTAAAATGTCTTCTTCTGGGCCTTAGGACTTGATGCCTTCAGTTGACCTAACCAGATTTACCTGCGGAGACCAGCAAGAGGCTGAGCTGAGAGGAGAGACAAGAATCTGATTTTAGTATATGTGCTGCCAAAGCGAGCACGAGATAAGAGTCTGAAAGAGTGGCCACAGTGAGGAGGATGAGGCAAGAGACACATGCCCGGGGAGCCCTGGACAGGCGAGGAGGAATTCAGAGGAAAGACACAATAGGTGCCCCTCAACCTGTGGGCTTTTCTCTGCCACTCGCCTCCCACAATAAACACTGGGCAGTACCTTATGACCATGAAAGGTGCACTTGGCAGGTGCCAAGCACTATGCTGGCCTTTTTACATATATAATTTCATCATCTCTCTCTCATCTCACTGTGTCTCCCTCTGGTCAAGTAAATAAATAAAATTTTAAAAAATTATTTATTTATTTATTTGACAGAGAGATAGTGAGAGCAGGAACACAAGTAGGGGGAGTGGGAGAGGGAGAAGCAGGCTTCCTGCCGTGCAGGGAGCCCAATGCAGGGCTCGATCCCAGGACCCTGGGATCATGACCTGAGCCGAAGGCAGACACTTAACTGACTGAGCCACCCAGGTGCCCCAGATATTTTGAACTTTTAACTGCACTGTTACCCGGTTACTTCCCTAGGATGGACTTTCAGAAGTAAAACTAGGGGGTCAAAAGGTATCCTTTTGACAGTTAAGATAATCAGAACATGAAACACTCCATCAACACTGCACAAGTACCCCTGACTCTCCAAACCCTTATCGGCACTTCTGCTATTTCACTGGGCAGAAAGCACTTGTCATTTGACCTTGTATACCAGATCACTTGATTTTCTTTTTGAATGAATTCCTTCTTTGTGCCCTTTGTCCACTTTTCTTTACTTTTTTTTTTTTTAAGATTTTATTTATTTAATTGACAGAGAGAGAGAGACAGAGAGAGGGAACACAAGCAGGGGGAGTGGGAGAGGGAGAAGCAGGCTTCCCGCCGAGCAGGGAGCCCGATGCGGGGCTCTATCCCAGGACCCTGGGATCATGACCTGAGCCGAAGGCAGTCGCTTAACCAACTGAGCCACCCAGGCGCCCCTCTTTACTTTTTTTTTTAAAGATTTTTAAAAAATTTATTTATTTCAGAGAGAGAAAGCAGGAGCAGGGGGAGAGGGAGGGGAAGAGGGAGAAGTAGGCTCTCAGCTGAGCAGGGAGCCTGACACGGGGCTCCATCCCAGGACCCTAGGTTCATGACCTGACCTGAAGGCAGATGCTTAACCGACTGAGCCACCCAAGCACCCCTTTGCCCACTTTTCTATTCTGAAATCATCCCCATTTTTCTGATATATGAGTTCTCTCTAAAAAACGTTATTAATCTCCTTGCTATATAGGCTACAAGCTATCTTTCCCAATTTTTTGATTTCCACTTATAATGGACCTGTCATCATTTTCTTTTATACAGCAGCTTGCTTTCCACATCCGTTTGTCTGTTTCGATAATCACATACATTTAACCATGCTGAAGCAGTTGCCAGTCCTGCTGGGTCCCCTTCCCCCCCTTCCCCATGAGCACTGCACCCTCAAGCTTCTCTTCATGTCCCCATCCACAATAGTTCCAAGGCACCACTGCCTATTCTAGACTAGAACGAAGGTGCCAGAAGGGCAGGGGCTCTGTTCTCATCACTCCTGTATCTTTAAGAGCTCCCAACATGATAAATATTTGCTGAATGAATGGAAAACCAGAACCACCTCCTCACTGGTCTCTTTGGTCCTCCATAATACACTCTCCCACCCTGGCAGTCAGACCAATAAATATCTCTCTTTTTTTTAAGAGAGGTGGGGAGGAGTGGAGTGGGGGGAGAGGGAGAAAGAGAGAGAGAGAAAAAAAATGAATCCCAAGCAGGCTCCCTCACCAGCGCGGAGCCTGATCCCACAATCCAGAAATCACGACCTGAGCCTAAATCAAGAGTCAATTGCCCAACCGAGCCACCCAGGCACTCCCGGCATTCCCCCTCCCCGCTTTTAAGTAGGCTCCATGCCCACCCAGCCTAGCCCCCAATGCGGGGCTTGAACTCATGACCCCGAAATCAAGACCTGAGCTGGTATCAGAGAGTCAGACGCTTAGCCAACTGAGCTACCCAGGACCCCCAGACTGATCTTTTAAAGATATAAATCAAGTCATGCTTCCCAGCACACGTTTAGGCTGAATCTAAACCCTTCTTCAAGGCCCACCAGGTCCCTGGTACCTCTCCAGCCTCATCCCCTACCCCTCTACAGCCCACCCTCCTTCTGCTCCAAGCACCTGACCCTTCTTTGTGTTCCTCAGATGCGCCCCGCCTCGGGCCGGGTGAAGGCTGTTAAGGCTGGTTCCTGGTCTTTCAGGCCTCAGCAATATCATCCCCTCCGCAGGCCTGCTGAGGACACTATCACTGTTAGGGGATCTCTCCTTTCTCTCCAAACCACTCTACAGTCTCCTTTCTTTGTCCTTCAATGTCTGAAAGCCCCGTTGATATACTAATTTTTGATATTTCTCAAGAGAAAGGAAGCACAACAAAAGGAGGGACCCAGGCAGGACCCCTCTCCCAGTGTCCCGGGGCCTGGAACGTGGGGAGGGTGCGGTCCGCGCACTCGGACGCCGGGGCAATGCACCCCCCGCGGCCCAAGCGCCACCCCCGGCTCCCCCATGCACCTGGGCCTCCGCGCTTCGGCGCTCCTCCCACTCCCGGCAGCTGGCCAGGTCGCGCCGCCACTGCTCGCAGGCCGGCCGTTCGCCGTGGACGTAGTAGTGGTACAGGAAGTGTCTGGCGCTGCGGCAGAGCTTCCACTCGGCTCGGTAGGCCTCGCAGGGGCGCGGCGGCTGCAGCGAGAAGCACGCCTGAGCCAGAGGCCGCTGCACTGCCCGCCTAGGGACCCCCATCCCGTCCCCTCCTTGGGAGAAGGCTCGGGTAATCCGGCCGTCCGGCCCAAGGAGGTCCCTGCACGTCCCGGGCGCCCCCCGCGCTTACCCGCCAGACGCCGCCGTCCGCCATGTCCGGGCGACTGCGGATCCCCCCTCTGAGTTCGCTAGCCACTGAAGATTGAAGACAAGCCGCACCGCGTGATTGACAGATAGGAACCAATGAACTCCGAGATGTGACGCTTGATTCCGCACCCACCCCCCTTGACACGAGCCAATAAACAAGACATCCGGGCTGGGACGCCAATAACAGCCGGGCGGGGCGGTGACAAGCGGAGGCGGCGCCCAGGAGGGCCAAGGGACCATGCGGGCGGGGGCGTGTCCGGAGGTAGAAAGCCCGGCGTGCAGCCTGCGAGGCCAAATGGATGACAGCGGCCCTTCGCCTGGTGCCCAGCGGGCGTCCCGGGCTGCACAGCCACCTGAAGTTAGTTATTTCTGAAACCACGGGGTCCAGGCCGGTTTTCAGCAGTTTTATGAAATCTCAAAAGATAGGGTTCGCTTTCATAAGCACATACTGAGCATCAACGCCCTGTGGCAAAGCTGCCAAGTCTGCGGCTGCGGAGGACTCGGTGAGGGTAGCTGCGCGTGACCAGCCGGCAGTTGGGGGTCTAGGGCGCCGGATGATTTCTCGAGGGAACGCAGGCTAGTAGTGGAGGTGAGCGAAGGGTGTTCTGAGCACAACGGTGGGGTGGTCAAAGGAGTGGAGGCTGTGTGTGACACGGGGTAGAGGAGAGAACCTTACAAACGTGGGGCGCCTTGCATGTCTGATTAGGAGTGAAGGCTTTACTCTGAGGCGTCGAAGACATGGAACGTTTATAAACAGGAGAGGTGCACAAGAGGCAATAAAAGTGGCTGGTAATCTGCAGAGTAGCCCTGCAATACCTATGCAGAGATTCTCCAATTTCCACAAACTTAATCCTCCACGAGGGGAGTCCCTTACAACGCGGTTGCTGGGCCCACCCCAGTAACGAGACTGGATCAGACTCCCTGAAGGTGGGCCAGAAAGATGCAGTTTTACCAGGGCTCCTGCTAAGCTGGCTCACAGACCAAGCTTGAAGACAGAGAAGGCTGCAGGCCAGGGTGCAGCAGTAATCACCAGGATTTTTGCTCTGGGTGACCCCTCCCCTCTGTGTTACCAGAAGCTGGCCCGCAGGGAAGTATGGCTCAAGCAAAGGACCACGAGTGATTTCATTGCTTACACAGTAGGTGTTGCTTAGGGAAGACAAAAACCCAAGGTCAGTCAGTGCCTTACTGTGAAATTCATTATGTATCAAATGACACATTAGCCAATGTGATCCTGCAAATGGACGCTGCCTACCCACCAAGGAGGGCTTCTGCCTCGGCTAGTGAAACAGACGCGCCTTAAGTGGAGGATCACGGAAGTCACAGCAGTGCTTCATGCCTCTTGAAACCTTGTCCGTCATCAGTGGTCACTGTTTGGGCCATAGCCCAGCCCTCAACTTCATGACAATCACCTATGCTCTTGATCTGATGACATGTGGGTGGACCCTGGGCCACCATCCTGAAGGGAACATCCTCTCGAGTGTTGAAGGAGCTCTGTCCAGAGATGGACCCCTCTACCTTCAAGCAGGAGTCCTCCTACAAGAGGAGACCCTGCTCAGGCTGACCATCCCCAATGCAGGGGTCGGAGAGCCTCATTTCTCCATATATTCTCCAGAAGCCCCCCAGAGGAGCTCTTTTCTAATGGCACGATGGAACAAGGGACACCTGCAAGCAAGTCTTCCTCCAACTCCTGGCTGGTGGCCCAACCCTCAACCCATGTTGGTAACTAATCAAACATTTAGAGGCAATCCAGGTTTAATCATTGCCTGTTTTTATTTGAAATTCTTGATGTAAAATTCTTTTCAAGGAACAAAAGAGATTAGATTAACATGTCAAAAGATCTCACATTATAGAAAGTGATCTGAGACCAAATTAATGCTAATAAAAAAAGTAGGCCAGCAGAACCTTGGATAATTTAATACATTAACTGGGAGTGGGGGGTAGGGAAGGAGAAATATATCTTTAGCATTTATTTATTCTAATATTCATATTTGTGCTTCATCATGAAGTTGTTTCACTGTAGAACCGATTCATTAAGGAGTATTTCCATATGAAATCAAATTACAAGATGAAATGTATTATCAGGAATCCACCTTCTGAAGAATGGTTCTTTTGGAAAAAAAAAAATATCAACGTGTAAAATAAAAACATCCTTCCTCATACACTTAAATTGCAGCCAGAGTAATGGGATAACCACTATTTATAGAGCATGTCTCTATTTAAGCCACTTTTTTCTAGGCCAAAGGTGTAATGCTCTAAGCTATCGACATGGAAAAACAAAGGGTAAGTGAAAAAAAGAGAAACAACACCTCAAGTTAGAGCAATTCAATCCCCTCCATTGATTTTTATCAGGAATTAGGGAACTCTGCTTTGGCTAAGGCAGTGGGAGCACCCCTCAAGGGCTGAAAGCAAGAAGGGGCGAGGAGGAGGCTGCCTGCAGGACCTCAGAGTGAGGTTTCTCCTTCCCAAAATCATCCACCAAGTTGGAAAGTTCCACTTACAGGTCACACGCGGTAATTCTTAGGTAACTCTAAAACAAAACCTAAAGTGACAGAGCATCCTCTGCAACAGTCTCATCCCCATCAGAGCCAGTAACTAAAAGCCATTATGTTGCAATTGATTATTTTATTTTCCAATCAGCCAACAGTCCCAACTTATGGCTTTCTTCCCTTTTTACGCAACGACTGTCCTTCTCCAGAGAAAGCGACGAATCTGCCTCCAGCTTCATCCTGAGTGTGAAGATAAAATACTATTTTCAGAAACTCCTTGGAGGCTTAGAATAAATGCTTGATTCTGTTGACTCATGTGCCAGCCACCCATTTACCTTACTTCCCCATTATTCATAATAAGAAATGGCTTTGAAATAGAAATCATAATCTATTGAATTGAGAAACGAAACCAGAGAATCACAACTATGCCTCTACCATAGCCTTTATTCTCAGATTGAATGTACATCCTTTTGCAGAAGTATCACGTTTTCAAAATGTAAAAAACATAAAATACACCTCCAAAAGAAAAATCATCTGTAACTCCACCACCCAAAAATATTTCCAGCCACTTTACTATATATGTTTATGTAAATTTTTCTACTTCCCGAGTCTCAAGTCGATGAATTTCTTTTCCAGTACACTCTAAAGGCTACAGAGAATTCCATCATTGGGAGAGGCAGTCTTCCACCATTGGATGTTACTCCCAGGTTTGTGATATTTTAAGCTGCTGTGGTGAGCAGCTTAATGTGTTTGCACACAACTCTGATTTTTTTCTTAGGAGTGTTATTCTACCATAAAAGGATTGCACAGTTAAGTTGTTTTTATTTTTATTTTTTATTTTTTTTTAGGACTGCACATATTTTTAAGGCTTTTAATGTTATGGTCACTAACCAGCCCTCAGAAACATTCTGTCAAGCTATTTTCCCACCAACAGAAAGAGGGCCTGTTTTTTCTCAACTGAAAACAGCAGGTATCTTTAACGAGCTTGTATTGCTAGTCAGTTGGAGGCATTCTCTATGGAAGAAGAGGATTTCACACTCCCTGATACATAGCCCTGCACCTGCACCTGCCCCTGCCCCTCCCCACCCCATGCAGGAGTGTATTGCTGGGGGGGGCCTGTACAGGGCTTATGTGGTACCAGGCGACCATGTACATTTGAGTCATAGCTGAGCCATTCAGTCTTCCTTTCCTGCAGAGCCTTCGCTTTGTCCTGCTGTCCCTGTGTCTGGCTTCTCTCTTCTGCACACATTCAATCACAGCAGGCATCCTGCTGGTTTTGTCTGCTTGAAGGTGTATCTCTTAGGGCCTTTAGGCTGCCCTGCTTAGACTGGCCATCCTCTTGGTGCTGCGAATAGTTTCAGGGCTCCCTGTTTCCTGGATCGAGGGCTTTCTTATTTCTACTTTATGCCTTCATTTTAGTAGGGTACATCCTCCAAACGCTTCCTGAGAAAGGGTGCTTGAGAAATATATCCTTTTGTGAGATCCTACATGTCTGAAAATCGCTTTTTCTACTCTCACATTTCCCTGATACGTTGACTATTGTTAGCATGCTAGGGCTGCCATAACAAAATACCACAGACTGGGCAGCTGAAACTACAGACATTTAGTTTCTCATAGTTGTGGAGAATGGAAGCCCAAGATCAGGGTGCTGACAGGGTTGGTTTCTTTTGAGGCCTCGCTCCTTGGCTTGCAGATGGCTGCCTTCTTGTGATGTGCTTGCATGGTCTTTCCTCTGTACATCCAACTTTCCTCTTCTTATAGGAAGAGTCAGACTGGATTAGGGGCCACCCTACTGGCCTCATTTTAACTTAATCACCTCTGTAAAGGCCTTACCTCCAAATACAGTCACATCCTGAGGTGCTGGGGGTTAAAGCTTCAACAAAGGATTTGGGGGAACATAATTCAGCCCATTAGAGTTGGGTACACAATTTTTTGTGAAAGTTTCCTCTCAGAATTTTAGAGACGCTGCTCCATCATCTCCTAGCTTCCTGTGTCTTGCGCTAAGATGATGCCATTCTTAATCTGTGGCATAACCTCTTTCCTCCTTCTGGAAGCTTTAGGATCTTTGCCTTGATAGGGGGCTATTTTCATTCATGGTGCTGGATGCTCAAGGGGTCCTCTTGGCTGCAAACTCATGCCCTTCCATTTGGGGAAATTATTTCTCTGATGGTTCCTGACCCTTGGGATTCTCTAATCTCTTTTCAGAACTCTTTAGAAAGTAGAAACTTTCTGACTGCAGTCTCCACACTGGGGTGAGCTGTCTGGAACATTCCTCAGGGCTCGCCAGACTGTCCAGAGAAAGCTCCTCCAATTGCAGTGAATAACCCTGGCAGCCAGTGTGGGAGCCAAGCAAGGGAAGGACACCAAGGGCGACAACATTCAGGATGCAAACTGTCACTCTCTCTTTTAGTTCAGTCCTGCTACCCACTCTGCTGACAGCCCCAGTCTAGGGACCTGCCATGATGCCTCTTCCAGAAGACAAGCCACCAGCTTTCTTCTGGGGTCAGGCAGGCACAGCCCCAACGGGGGCGGGAAGGGGGGGGCGGTGCCGTGGTTCTAAGTTCTTTGTGACAC